TATGTCTGTTGCCACTTTTTCTCAGCTCTCACCGAACCTATTTTTTTCAATGATACGTCAAAAGATCACAAATCGTATCTAGTCGAAGACATTACCTTCAAAAATTGAAAAAATTTCCCTCGTTCTCCGTAAATGGGGGAAACTACAAATTTAAAAATCGCTAATTTTCGAAATTTTTTCAATTTTTTTTTCTTGTCTTGAACAATAATTATTTATAAGAATAGTTATTTTGTTCGTATTAATAAAACATTATCATAAACCCTTGATAAAATTTCTCTATCAAAATTGATTGAGGTTTTTCTTTTGAGTGTAGTTTAAAAAAACCCAGCACAAGGTGGTCCCGGCACAGTGGTGACGTGTCATAGTTGGATTAAGTATAATAATATCTGACAGTAATTATTATCACTATCATAAGAAACGCTTCGATGCTAATCTGTAGATAGTGTTTAATTTATAAAAAAAAAAATTTGTTAAAATAGCATATTTTTGAATACGGTAGCCTTTTGCGCATAGAAGAAAGGTCGTCGGGACAAATTTTTTTTTTTTATTTTATAGTACATGAAATAAGCTTTAATTTGATATATGTTTAAAGGACGCAGTATTTCCGGAACATTTTCAAAAGTTCAGTTGAAAAAGATCTATGTTTTTTACAATATTTTAAGTTTTGAACGCCCCCTATATAAGGGGAAATTGTCCAATTTTAATAAAAAGTATGTCAAATGAAAGATGTACTTATAATGTATTTAGAAAAAAAAAATTTGTGCTGATATATACATTTTTCAAAAAGTTATAGCATTTTTAAGTTGAAAATTAAAAATCGAAAATCGAAAATTTTAACACAAAAATAGTGTTTTTTTAACTACGGCAGCCGTTTAAATGTAGAAGAAAAAGTGTCGGGACAAATTTTTTTTTTTCATTTTATAGTACATAAAATAAGCTTTAATTTGATATATGTTTAAAGGACGCAGTATTTCCAGAACATTTTCAAAAATTAAGTTGAAAAAGTTAATTTTTGTAAAAAAGTTGCCATTTTAAATCCCTCCCACACCCAAAGAAAAACCTCTATCAAAATTGAAAGAGAAATTTTATCAAGGGTTTATGATAATATTTTATTAATACGAACAAAATAACTATTCTTATAAATAATTATTGTTCAAGACAAGAAAAAAAAATATCATATTGATAAATATATCATTGATTCAATAGTAATGATATATTTATCAAATTGAACAATGAATTTATTATATAGATCGAGGTTTTTCTCTGGGTGTA